GCTGGAATTTTATGGGAATGTTCCCCGTCCAAGTAGGTACTAACGAGCCCAAATCCAACCACCGGATAAACGTGGTACCCGCGAACGAGCCCGGAAATAACTGGAAAATCCTGCGCGACTTTCACCCTAACTCAAAAATTTTTTTTTTGGTCCTTCACTTACTGATTCCAAAGAGTCCACAGATTGTACTGAGCAACGTTTATATATAATAAAGCTTGAAATTTACCTGAGCAGTGAACCACTTGTAGAGCTCATCGGGTGAATCAAGCATAAGGCCTTGACGATGCGCTCCCTCCTTGATCTGGCTCATCAGTGTCGTGTACTCGTCGCCCTCAAATAATCCTGGGACCTAAAAATTCAATTAGCTTGTCAGTACAAACCAAATGTATGAATACTCCCCAATTTCGATGGCCAGTTCGCTTGCCCGTGAATCATTATCCTGGAAGCCTACACTGAACCTGTATGCCCACCCCTTCCCTACATGTGAGTTACTGCACCTGTGCCTCGTAATAATGAGTTTGAAGAGATCTGTGCTGAGCTCGAATTCAAATTAGAGCCCACATAGCTCATTAAGCTAGATTTCAACGAAGAAATTGGGACAGGAAGCACTGAAAGAATGGCTGTAACAAAAGGGACGATAGAACTGATAGGCTAACAACAATGGCGAAAACGTATAAACTTCTTTGACGCAGGTCCTAGTTTGGGCAATATGCAAGACAAAAGCAAATTTGGTTTCCGAAAAAAGCAAAAAGAGCGAGATAGATATCTCAGTTAATATTTTGCGTATTTCCGAAACTGTCGTAAGAATGTCCCCTCTGGTAAATACCACGGCATTTCTGGGAAGGAGTGTGTATTATTCTGGCCACTGAAAGAGAAGTATCGTATACGAAAAGTCAACAATAACCGATCCGAGAAACCGAAGGAGATGAAGCAATAAGTGAGGGAAACCATCTGAGTTACAGGGGCTCAATATCAGTCCAGACCATCAAAAATGCCTAAGTGATAAGCTTCTTGAGGAAACGAAATAAGCCAAGTGTGCTCGATCTCAACGTAGACCATTACCATCAGGCCTCAGTCGAACCCTTCGGGGTATTTCAATGCCCCAGATAACAACTCTCAGAAGTACGCAGTTTAACAAGCCAACCTATCAACACACGCATATAGCGTACACACACACACACAAACACACGCACTTATACTGACGGAACATACACACGCACACACACACACACACGCACACCCACACACAAACACAGAAACACATACATACACACACTCGCACACACACACTCTCACACACATATACACAAATACAGAAGCACATACATACACACATACATACATACACATAAACCTAGCCTGTCTCTAACAAGTCGTTGTACACATTTGTTTGTATGTAGAGAAATAAGTACCTCGCCATTTGCTAGCAGAGTGTTTAGACGCTCCAGGAATCCCGTATCTAGCATATTCGATTCATCCATGATGAAGCAGATCTTTTCGTTACGACAACCAGCTCGACGTAGCACCGTTCGCATATCCTCATCAAAATCGGCTGCCGTATACTTTGAG